AATGCTCAACTACAAGAATCCCAAATTCAACTTTCGGGTTTGGATGGTGGACTTCAAGAGATCTCTCAAAACATGCTACGAAACATTCGGCAAAGCACCACTAGCTCTAAAGTTACTAAACAATTAGAAAGTAATGAGATTTCTAAAGAAGAAAAAGCATATGAAATTCTTGGTAGTTTTTTTACCTGCCGACATAACAAAAAAACTACAAATCTAATAAGCTTTACTACCCAAGAATAGATAGATCTTTAGTTTAAATTATAAAATTTTTTGAATTTTAAACGAATATTAATAATATTAGTAATATTGTATTTATAAAATCAGTAAATACCTTTTTAATATACTTCATTATACTTAACAACGTTTATTCGATCAAAGCTAGCAACCTAATTGATCTCTGTTAGAATAAATTTATAAAGCAGATTTAGTTAATTACTAAAAAATATGTAAAATTCTAACATTGTCACTGTGTAAAGATACTTTTAATTAAATTTATAGAATTAAAAAATGTTTAATATTACGGGAGGAATTAAAGACAAAAGATGACGATTTTTCACGTATCATATAGATTTGCGTTAGAAAAATATATCACATAACTAAAATTTATAGCAATTTTTCGTATGTACGTATCTATGAAAAAAAACTAATTAATTAGTAACCCAAAATTCTGATGTTGTCACTATATAAAGACACCTTTAATTAAATAGTTTGTGTTTATAAAATTAAAAAGGGATCAATATTGCCGAAGGAATTAAAGGTGAAAGATGGCAACTTTTCTATGGTTTTTAATATTGCGTGCAGATCTAAAAAATTTTAATTATAAAAAAAATTTGATTTATGATTTTCACTATACACCTGCACTATGTTTGTAATTAGATATGCATTAGACACCCCAATCGTTGCTGAACTTGACAATTAATCAGTAATATACTTAAATTGCCAAGATGCTTTTTTCCCTTGACGTCACTCATGATAAATTCCAATAAGAACTCTTTGTGATCAAGCGATAATAACTTTTAAGCTGAACCTATGTATATAAAATTATATTTATCTAATTTTTCTTTAAAGTATCAGTACAATTTTCTTTATTTTCTTAGAGTTAATTAGAGTTTAGCAAACAGTTTTATTTAACTGATAAGAAAATTAAAAAAAAAGACTTACTTTACAGAACACACTAAGAGAAATCCAACAAATATAATTTATCTACATAGATCAGTAGTTTGAAAGTTTTAAGCTCATATAACCACCGTTGACGGATAGGCTGTTGATATTGACATATTTTGAAATTAAACAAAATTTTGTAGAGTTTTCTTAACGTTTCAGATTTTAGATTTAACAGACTGTCCTTATCTGAAAGATTATATCCGTCATGAAGGTAAAAGGCAAGATTAAATAGATTATATGGATGCTCTTTTAATGACAATCCTTTAACAGTATCTAACTTTCCAAACGCCTTATTTTTGAAATTTGTTAGGGCAATATGGGTTGCATGCAACCCACAAGGAATTCGAAACGATTTAGATGCTGCTAATGAGTTGAATTTAGCAATTGCACCGTTAGCCTTTGAAGACATATAAGCCGTATTATCTGTTAGCCAAAAATGATATTTTTGGGGGTCAATTTCTTTTTGTTGACATGCTTCAAATACTTCAGTTGAAATAGTTTCAGCATTATAGTGGATCAGATCTTTTACTTTTAATACAGTAATTATAGGCTTTTCTTTAATATGATTCCAATATAAAAGGCAAATAATTAACACTTTCATTTCTCCACGTGTGCTTTCATCAGCCATAATGTCATAACCGAAAAATCTAGACATGTCGATAGGATGGTTTTGGGTAAAGGACAAGGCTACTATTTCGTTATTCTATCGCGTTAAGGTAGATATCGTTACCCAATACTGTGGCATCTCTCCAGTTAAGAATTGATAAACGGCTTTAGTACATTCTACCATTGCACGTATTGAGGTTCGTCCTATAGTGCTAATATCAGTAGCTAATTTTACAAATCTCGCATTGTATTCATTTTTATTAATTCTAAATAATTTATTGACTTCTTGTTGGAACTGAGCAGGACTAATCTTATTTGCTTTACGAATAGAAGACCGAATTTTTGAAATATTTTTTTTTTAATTCTCAATCCCAAATAT